CTGCTACCGGGTGGCCAGAAAACGGTCCACTGTATATCCGGAATCACCGGGAATATTTGGCAATTTATGGAAGTAGACCTGGAGATCCACGATTTTTTTCTAAATTGCATACAATCATGAGCAGGTTTCAGGCCCTGCGAGCCAGCCGTAAAAAAAGCATTGCAACGGAAAATCAGCAACAGAGGAATACGAACCGAGACCAAGGCAACGACCCCAGCGGCGAAATAGGACTTGCGATTGGAAACTCGGCACGTGGAACTGTCGATCTCTCAATTTCATCGGGAGCACCCGAATACTCGCCAATCTACTGAAGGACCGCGGATTCGGCATCGTAGCGCTGCAGGAGGTGTGTTGGACAGGATCCATGGTGCGAACGTTTAGAGGTAATCATACCATCTACCAGAGTTGCGGCAACACACGCGACCTGGGCACAGCTTTCATCGTGATGGGCGAAATGCAGAAACGCGTGATCGGTTGGTGGCCGATCGACGAAAGAATGTGCAGGTTGAGGATCAAGGGCCGATTCTTCAACTTTAGCATAATCAACGTGTACAGCCCTCACTCCGGAAGCACTGATGATGACAAGGACGCATTTCAAGATCATCATAGGAGACCTAAACGCTCAGGTAGGCCAGGAGGAAGAATTCAGACCGACGATTGGAAAGTTCAGCGCCCACCAGCTGACGAACGGGAACGGCCTACGACTCATCGATTTCGCCGCCTCCAAGAACATGGCCATACGTAGCACCTTCTTCCAACACAGCCTCCCCTATCGTTACACCTGGAGATCACCACAGCAGACGGAATCGCAAATCGACCACGTTCTGATTGATGGACGGCACTTCTCCTACATTATCGACGTAAGGACCTATCGTGGCGCTAACATCGACTCTGACCACTACCTGGTGATGGTCAAACTGCGCCCAAAACTTTCCGTCATCAACAATGTACGGTACCGACGCCCGCCACGGTACAACCTAAAGCGACTGAAGCAACCGGATGTCGCCTTAGCATACGCGCAGAATCTCGAGGCAGCGTTGCCAGAGGAGGGCGAGCTCGATGTGCCCCTCTAGAGGAGTGCTGGAGTACAGTAAAAGCAGCCATCACCGACGCTGCCGAGAGCACCATCGGGTACTTGGAAAGAAGTCGACGGAATGAATGGTTCGACGAGGAGTGCAGAGCGATTTTGGAGGAGAAGAACGCAGCGCGGGCGGTAATGCTGCAGCATGGAACCCGACAGAACGTGGAACGGTATAAACAAAAGCGGAAACAGCAGACCCGCATCTTTCGGGAGAAAAAAACACCGCCTGGAAGAAGCGGAGTGCGAGGAAATGGAACTGCTGTGCCGTTCCCAAGAAACACGGAAGTTCTACCAGAAGCTCAACGCATCCCGTAACGGCTTCGTGCCGCGAGCCGAAATGTGCAAGGATAAGGATGGGAGCCTCTTGACGGACGGACGTGAGGTGATTGAAAGGTGGAAGCAGCACTTCGATGCGCACCTGAATGGCGAGGAGAACGTAGGCACGGGAGACCAGCGCAATGGAGGAAACGACTACGTCAGTGCAGCAGAGGGCGGAACTGACCCAACTCCCACGCTGAGGGAAGTTAAGGATGCCATTCAGCTGCTCAAAAACAACAAAGCAGCTGGTAAGGATGGTATCGCAGCCGAACTTATCAAGATGGGCCCAGAAAAGTTGGCCACCTGCCTGCACCGGATGATAGTCAGGAGCTGGGAAATAGAACAGCTACCGGAGGAGTGGAAGGAGGGGGTAATCTGCCCCATTCACAAGAAAGGCAACCATTTGGAATGTGAGAACTTCAAAGCGATCACCATTTTGAATGCCGCCTACAAAGTGCTATCCCAGATCATCTTCCGTCGTCTATCACCTAAAATGACCGAGTTCGTGGGAAGTTATTAAGCCGGCTTTATTGACGGTCGATCGACAACGGACTAGATCTACACCGTACGGCAAATCCTCCAGAAATGCCGCGAATACCAGGTCCCAACGCATCATTTGTTCATCGACTTTAAGGCGGCATACGACAGTATCGACCACACAGAGCTATGGAAAATCATGGACGAGAACGGCTTTCCTGGGAAGCTGATCAGACTGATCAAAGCAACGATGTACGGTGTGCAAAACTGCGTAAGGGTTTCGGGTGAACTATCCAGTTCATTCGAATCTCGCCGGGAACTGCGACAAGGTGACAGACTCTCATGCCTACTCTTCAACATCGCTCTAGAAGGTGTAATGCGACGAGCCGGGCTCAACAGCCGGGGTACGATTTTCACGAAATCCGGTCAATTTGTGTGCTTTGCGACATGGACATTATCGCAAGAACATTTGGAACGGTGGTAGAACTATACACCCGCCTGACACACGAAGCAGCAAAGGTCGGACTGGTGGTGAGTGCGTCAAAAACAAAGTACATGCTAGTAGGCCGAACCGAACATGACAGGATTCGTCTAAGAAGTAATGTCACGATAGACGGGGATACTTTCGAGGTAGTGGAGGAATTCGTTTACCTTGGATCCTTGATGACGGCTGACAACAATGTGAGTCGTGAAATACGAAGGCGTATCATCAGTGGAAGTCGTGCCTACTACGGGCTCCAGAAGAAACTACGGTCAAAAAAGATTCACCCCCGCACCAAATGTACCATGTACAGAACGCTAATAAGACCGGTGGTCCTCTATGGACACGAGACATGGACTATGCTCGAGGAGGAGCTGCAAGCATTCGGAGTTTTCGAGCGACGTGTGCTAAGGACGATCTTCGGCGGTGTGCAGGAGAACGGTGAGTGGCGGCGAAGAATGAACCACGAGCTCGCTGCAGGGGCAGGGCATGTTGCAAGAATGCCGGACAACAACCCTGCAAAGTTGGTGTTCGCTACTGATCCGGTTGGCACAAGAAGGCGTGGAGCGCAGAGAGCACGATGGGCGGAACAGGTAGAGCGTGATCTAGCGAGCATTGGGCATGACCGAGGATGGAGAGCGGCAGCTGCAAACCGAGTATTGTGGCGTACTATTGTTGATTATGTCTTATCTTAAATGTGATGTTGTACAAATAAATGTATGTATGTACACTCATGAGCATAGAGGAAAAATGTCATCACCATATTGGTTCACCGGGTGGTCAGAAAACGGTCCTTTGGATATCCGGAATCACCGGTAAATTGGTCAATTCCTAAAAGTAGGCCTAGAGATCCTCGATTTATTCTAGACTGCAAGCAACCATTAGCATAGAGGAAATATGCTACCACCATATCGATTATGCTACTGAGTGGCTTGAAAACGGTCCTCTGGATAACTGGAATCATCGGGAAAATAATCATGAAAGTTGACTATGAGAACGCTATTTCTGCTAAATTGCATACAATCATGAGCATAGCGAAAATATGTCGAAAACTTTATCGATTATGTTACCACGTTGCTTGAAAATGGTTCTCTGGATATCTGGATTTCACTTTTTGCAGCGAAATATTATTTATTATTATTGTTGATCAAAATTGAGCCATTATTGAATTTTGGACATCAAATGATATGAATATGTTATCTTAACTAGTTTCTGGAAGCATTTACTTGTGTTTTATACAATTGGTATAAATTACAATAAGCATAATACCTACTAATATATGGCTGTTACATTACAATAGAACGCATTTTTAATCCCAACAAGATTTTTGTGTCTGGATTTTTGCGTGCTCAACCTTTAGTTGTCTCTCTCATGCCAACGCAAATTTTGCTCCGCTCCGTTAATGCATGCTTAGATTTGAATACACCATAAGCGTATCACTCGGAAATGGCGGCCTGCATGGTCTCCAAATGCATCAATCACTGCAGCTATTTACACGGCGAATGAGAACGACCCAAATTTGAGTTTAGTTCACTCATAATCGCCAAAAGTGCAGGAACTCAGCGATGAGTTAATTTGCCTCATGTTTTCCCAGGTTTTCCAGGATTTTCCAGGGAAAAATTCCCGAATTTGAGAAAAGTAAAGATTGGATTCACTCAGTCTATTGGTACTACTCCGAGACTGAATAAAATTTTCGCCAATTTCCTCATTTTCCGGCAGATTTTTTAGGTTTCCCACAGGAAACCATGAGACAAATTTTACTCATCGCTGAGTTCCTGCACTTTTGGCGATTATGAGTGAACTAAACTCAAATTTGGGTCGTTCTCATTCGCCGTGTACACTACATGGTGGTTCGGATTGATTTGCACACCTCTCTTCTTTTTCCCCTTTCCCAAGAATAGAGGAAAATGAAACGACATGCGCGAACCGGTCAAAAACTGCAGTGAATGATCCAGGACTGGAAATCTTTCACGTTTGTCCTTTTACAGTATTCGGAAAAACTCAAAAACTCAAATCTCATGCATGAGTTTAGGCGCCTATGAGTTTTGCCTTGCAAAAATCACTGACTAGTTTTCAGGTTCAAAAATTCATTGCTTTATATTTTCGAGTTAATCATTGTTATTGCTATTGTTTGTACACCAGGGGTTGGAAAGCTAACACAGCATGCATATGCATGATATCAATTCAAGAGCCACATGTGAAAAGGGCATACAAGCTTTTTGTAAACAAACCTTGGTAGGCCCTTTTCACGCCAACCAAGGGTCGCCCACGCAAACCAGCAATTTCATCGGGAAGGGGAAAGTTTCACCTATCAGGTGATGGAAAAGGTTTGTGTTGGTGTCATATGGGTGGCGAGAAAAGGGCATAAGATGGTTTGTTTACAAAAAGCTTGTATGCCCTTTTCACATGTTGTTCTTGAATTGACGTTTGAGTGGTATTTATGAGTTTAAAGCTGGAATGATTTTTCGGTGTGGTAAGTGTGAGTGCGTGAATATGCATGAGAATCTCAAGCGTGAATTTTGTTTGCCGCATTCCCACGCGAGTTTATTCTCGCAGGGAGGCTCAATGAATGAGATTAGAGAATGATTTTTCGAACACTGGTCCTATATATAAAAAACAAAACTAAAATGACGCTTTACATACCTCTCGATGAAATCCGACACATATTTGTTGGTATTCTGCTCCGAGCTCATGTCGCTGGGCAGGTCCATATCCAAATCGTCCATCACCGTCACATTGCTCTGTTCTGTTTTCAAATTGACCTGCTGCAGCGTGATCGGCTGAGAATCCTCCTCCAGAGACGTTATGGTATTGCTCTCGTCTGGGCTCATCAGATCGATCGTATTCCCTACGGTTTGACCTTGCAACGCAATTGTATCACTCACCGTGTCGCTCATCGGACTTAGGTGCTGATGGTTCAACTGAAAACAAACAAAAAACTGTTGTTAGGAAAACTTTAAGCTGATTTACAAAACTTCGTACCTGTATGGTATTCAAGCTATTCAGCTGATCCCATGCGGAATTTTCTGGAGATTCTGAACGGTCTGACTTGTTGTCTTCATCGACGATCGCTTTGCCGATCAACTTTCCATTAAGTTCCAGTTTCTTCGGTGCGCCAACAGACGTGTTTTCCCAACCCGCATTGACAATTGCTTGCCTCTCTGCGTATCGCTTTTGATTTTGCTCTAGAACCTCCCTGCTTGGGCATGCGTAAGCCTTCAAGCATCGCATCATGAACCCGAACGGCAACAGCGGATCCATCAGGCACAGCATTCGAGCGGGACTCGGGACGAAACTGATCAACACTGGACAGTAAGCAAGGAAAATTCCATCCGGTCGTCTAATGCCCATCTCTATGCATCTCATCGCACAACCCAGATTTAAGTTAGCACCGGCTGAATCGCCAGCGAAGATAATCTTCTCTGCAGTTGTTCCTAGTAGTTCGCAATTCTTCAGTGCCCAGCAGTACGCGTAGAATACCTCTTCCAGAGCACGTGGGAAAGGAGCCGCCGGTGCAAGACTATAATCAATCGATAGGATGGGAATGTTCAACGTGACAGCCCACTCTCGAAGATACGCTTCGTGAGATTTGGAACTTTGAGCAACGAATCCTCCCCCGTGGCAGTGAAAAAGCAGCCCGGTCGACTGGGGGTGAATTGTACTGCGCGTGTTAACCTTCTCACCAATCATACCTTTACGCTTGACTGCACTGATAAGTCGGGCTTTGACTGGGCCTGCTCCACCGTGGCTCTGGGGAATCGGGATGCTGATTAACTCGTCAGACTTCTCCGCTTTCAGTTGGATTGGTTCTGGAGGTATAGTGATAACACGACTCACCTTAACCTTGAATCCTACAAAGGATGGTAGCGAGTGCATCAGCTCGGATTCAGCCAGAAACCAGAAAGCCTTGCAAAAGTCAACGTTGGAATGCTGTGAGATATTGACGATCCGTCGGGCACGAAGTTCCGGATCCAGCATATACTTGGTGCTGGTGTACATCAAACTTGTAGCCTTGGAGATTTTGCCTCCCTCGGAATAGTATCCCTCGGAGAAACCAGCCATTCCAATGGAAATAAATTTGAGCAACGGCCTCATTGATTCGCAGAACTGAAAGCCGAGACATCGTCCGTAGAAACAGAACTGGTTGATAGTGTCCGCTTTACCGAGCAGTTCTTCGACTGACCTACCATCAGGAAACAGTTCTCCAGATTTGGTCCACTCTCGTAGCGTTTGGCAATGCTTCAGACACGTGCACAGGCTTGCCATCAAATGATTGTATGCTTCAACCTCCTTTACGTAGACGGTTTTCCGAAACAGAATCGTTCCTCGATTTTCCATAACGTATCTAGCTAGCTTCAACGTAGTCTTAACGCAACTATCGACGACGTATAGAAAACTCCTAAATCCATTTCCGGGGGTGTCCTCATCGAAGTCATATTCATGTACGAACTCCTGAACTTCCTTCACCAACGGCTTCGCAGTCTCAATATGATCGATTAACCCCACGAAAGCGCCATGAATTCTGAGCCCATTTTCGCTTTCATCACCTTCAAAGTATTTTATATTGTTTCTGCATAGCTCAATCAGCGATTCGAACAAGTATAAATCATCCGAGCTAACCATCGGTTGCGTATCTACGAGTCGTTCATGCTCACTACCGGATGTTGTTGGCAGAATGGCACTGCTGGATTCACTCCCGCCGTCGCCTTTGCCGCTATCGATCGGTGTTGCTTTAATCTTGCCCGACATTACAATTACAATGACGCTTCTTTCGCTAATTCTGCAATTATAACCAACTTCTGCCGTATGAATGAAGTGCGATAAGGTGTGATTCAATTGAATTTAACTGCTATTCCAGCTGGCTTTCTCTCTTATCGCATATTATTCGTGCCGAACGAGGTCGATGTTGTACCCGGTGCGATTCAGGCAAAGGACTTTGGATCCAGCTTTTGCAATAACACCTTGTTTTGCTTTTATCACTAACATGTCATCCAAAGTTCGCACTTGATTTGTCACCAACCGGAGTGAATATACGTGCAGTGATGGTCGATCGTCAACCGACGGAACCTGTTCGCCTGCGATTAGAGTAGTAAGTCCGCTACCGACATCAATTGTAAAGAAAATTATAAATAGACAATTATACATGTAACACCGCCTCACGGTCCATCCACATGACTACATGTACAAAAAAGTCTATATACACGTGTTATGATTGAATGCACTTTTTTCCCTCCTGACACATGCGATGAAGTGAAGAAATTTAATAGAAAACAACCTTCGATGCCTTCGATTGACTGATGGAATGTATTTACACGACGAACTTGCGCGATAACAACAAAACATACGCACCACGCGTCAGAGGCATTGAACGACTGAAGTGTGGCAGTTCTAGCCTACATGCTTCTTTCCACTTAAGTGATAACAAAGTAGCTGCGTTCATGTTGGTAAACAATTTGATTGAAAGCCGTTCAGATGAGTGAACTGTCACTTTGACAGTAAACTGACATCTGTCCATGGAGAACGCAGAGGCGTACCAACAGGTTTCAAAGTGAACGCATGGTTCATGACGTTAGGGTTTACACGCTACACACCAAATTCTGTTTTCATCTTCCAGCAAAATGGTTTGCTGAAAATGATCCAGCAAAACGATTTTAGCTGAAATAACAGCAAACAACTTTTTAATTACTGAAAATCCAGTAATCCGTTGTTTTTGCCGAAAACCAGCAAATCATGAACTGTCAAAAAGACTTGTGGTTCTAGCATAGAGGTAACTCAAGACTAGTAGGTCCCGAAGAAACGTGCTCAACGTTTTGGCTCAGCTCTGGTACTATCTTCGGTCCCAAGCTAATCGATTCACCCCTCGAAACATAGGAAAATCCAATAACCCCTCATTTTATCTGTCAAACTTCCATAGCAAATCAAAACAAACATTGCGTAGTACTAGAATTTCGACTAGAATGGGGTACGTTAATCGTTTGGTTGGGACCAATAGGCTAGTCAAGTAGTGAGCCAATTTTAAATCGTTAGTTTCGTATTGATTGTTGGTTCTAGTTAATTAGTTGGAAGACCGCTTACAAAAAGCGTTGCGTTGTAAAATTTTAACTGGATTATAATTGTTTGGCTATTATACCTATTTTGCATAACAATAACGGTACACAGCAAAAAAAAAAATGTAATATCGATCAACGTAATTCAAGCTGATGTATGCAACAATGATGTAATAGCAAAAAGCAGATACAATATTACATCAATGGATGTAATTTTGTTCGCAAAATCGATGTACATCGTACAACGTTATATTACACAACCGATGGATTGACCTGGTTGCAGCAGTTTGGATGTAATATTCAACAACTTTTTTTTCTGTGTAAGACAGGGGAATATTTTGAAGGAAATATTATCTAGTAACAGATTGCCTTTTATTCTAGATAAATTTGGTAGAAACATGTAGAAGATGCTTACGTGCGAATGAAGAAGAACTTAAAGATAATCAATAGTTTTGTATAGAGCTATTTCAATAACGACTGAATAAAAGAGGGGTTTAAGTGATTTCTCTAACTACTTGATGCATTGATTCCCTGTTTTTCTTATTAAAAGGAGAAAAGCTTCTCGTAATTGCGTAATTGCTGAAATTCCAGCAAAATCAACCTCATTTTTTTCAACAAAGAAATTGCTGATATTCCAGCAACCTTCTGTCAAAAAATATTTGCTGGAAAGCCAGCAAAATTCACTTTGCTGGAAGGATTGCTGGTTATTCAGCTCGGCAAAATCCAGCAAAATTTTGCTGGATTCCAGCAATAAAAAATGAGTGTGATAGTCAGTTTTCTCACCGGGTGAGTCGTTCGTACTCACTTTCGTCCGATGTATCGAGTAAACTGAGTAAACGAGAAATGTCAAACTGATTACACAGCAAAAAAAAAATCGAACAATGTAATTCAAGCAGATGTAGGAAATAATGATGTAATAGCAAAAAGCAGATACAATATTACATCAATGGATGTAATTTTGTTCGCAAAATCTATGTACATCGTACAACGTTATAATAGGTTATAATACACAACCGATGGATTGACCTGGTTACAGCAGTTTGGATGTAATATTCAACAACTTTTTTTTTCTGTGTATACACGCTTATTCTGGTCAACTCAAAATTGAGTCGAAGGTATTCATCTCTGCGGCAAGTAGGGCTACTCAAAACTGAGTAGCCTTATGTTGACTCACTTTTGACGTTCTCGCGTAGACTGATTCAAATCCACTCAGCGATATTTTCAGTTGCAGGGGGGGCTTTTGTTTGGATTTTATTTTAAGGAAATGAAAATTGTCTGCTCCGGATTCATTCTACCGGAGCAGAAAATGGTTCAACACCATTGTCCTGAGCAATTTCTACTTACCTGAAGGAATTTCCGCCCGTTTTGAGTGAAACATTCACCCGTTTTCTAGGACGTTTCCTCCAACATGGTTGACATTTTTTCTAAGTCCAGAATGTTGCTGACAGAGTGGCTTTTACTCAGTTTGACATTTCTCGTTTACTCAGTTTTTGACAACTCGATACATCGGGCGAAAGTGAGTACGAACGACTCACCCGATGAGTAAACTGAAGTTAGCGTGTAAAAGCCACTCAGTCAGTAAAATCCTGGACTTAAAAAAAATGTCAACCATGTTGGAGGAAACGCCCTAGAAAACGGGTTCCTTAAAAATAAAATCAAAACAAAAGGCCCCCTGCAACTGAAAATATCGCTGAGTGGATTTGAATCAGTCTACGCGAGAACGTCGTTTACTCAAAAGTGAGTCAACATAAGGCTACTCAATTTTGAGTAGCCTTACTTGCCGCAGAGATGAATACATTCAACACAATTTTGAGTTGACCAGAATAAGCGTGTACACACCACACCAAATTTCGATTTTGAGTTTCAGCAGAACAATTTGCTGAAATGCGTTCAGCAAAATCATATTTTACTGGAAATCAGCATTAGCATTTTTGACATTGCCGAAATCCAGCAAAACAAACAAATGTCAGAGTATTTGCTGATAATCAGTAATCCGCGCGCCCTGTCTAGTTAAATGGCAGGTCGGGCAAAACTATCTGACTTCAAGTTTAATTTTTCATTGTCGTACTTTCGTAACCGTGATTCCTGGCACACTGCCGTACTCTAACGGAACTATCAACTCTATGCTTTCATCTACTCCATCTATCGTATAAAAATTACCACTACAGTCTGTCATTTGAAATAAGCATCTTCAACTATGTAAATCGTTGACTTCACGTAGAAGTAATACTAAAACATACAGTCAAAGTACATAACTCTGGATGGGAGCATACCATCAATTACTGTCAATGGTCGAAAGGTACAGTAGCAGCACCTACCCCACCCGTGTCCCCTCGAGATCGTCAAGTCGACGATGACAGGAGCACATATCGTGGTAGGGGTAAACAATAGTTGCAATTTCCAAAACCTACGACTGGATGCCTTCCTTCAAATAACAACTGAAGTGCGGTAAAAATCGGTAGAACTGTTTCAAACACACCGTTGGTACCCCTCACCATCCCTCTCCAAAGGGGGAGTTTGGTAAAGAGAGATGAAAAAACCGATTTGTACCTTCCTTAAAAGTTGTCCTAGCTCGCTATTCTAATATCTATATACAATCTTCACACTGCCGTACTCTAACGGAACTATCAACTCTATGCTTTCATCTACTCCATCTATCGTATAAAAATTACCACTACAGTCTGTCATTTGAAATTAGCATCTTCAACTAAGATTTTTTAGGTTTTCCACAGGAAACCATGAGACAAATTTTACTCATCGTTGAGTTCCTGCACTTTTGGCGATTATGAGTGAACTAAACTCAAATTTGAGGTGTTCTCATTCGCCGTGTATCATTTGATAATCTTTATTATAAGGTGCTCCAAGAGAAGTTTATCAATGGAACTGACAGCTAGAAATCTAGAGTGTGTGAGTGATATGATGTTAATGGTTCTGAAAGTAAACACAAACAAAGCAGAAATTCATATGTGAATAATTTTTTGGTAAACAAAAAAGTCAGCTGATCGCAACTGTCTCGTGGACAGCCTTATTCTTTGTCAGCCTTTCTTTCGTTGATGTATGTCATCAAAGTTGTGCATTGTTTACTGACAAATCAATACGTTCCAAGCCAATACGTTACATTTTGTAGTATTCATTTCACAAGTCTTGCGTCATTTTTCCAATTGACCAATCTACATTAATCGATTCTCTTCATCGACTCTCTCTTTCGTTAATAACTTGGCCGCATTCATATTTCGGGCTAACTTTTGTGCGTAGTCTGTTAAACGAAAGCGTATTGGACGATAAAGAAAGGTGATCATGTTTTTAGAGCGGAGCTATTAACGAAATAGAGAGCAACCTTCTATCTAGTCGTGCTATCACTTGTGCTATCAAGTTAAAGCATGCAGTAAGAATGTCAAATTGCACACTAGCTTCACCTGGTGAGTAAACTCTGAACTGAGCTGTCCATCATTCAAATGTCTTATTCATCTGAATAACTTTGCCCAAGATCGCTACCTTATATCTAGTCTAGGTTGCAAGTTAAAGCAAGTAATTATTAGCTAAGCGGCACACTAGCGCCACCTGGTGAGCGAATTTTAAAGTGTGATGTACACCATCCAAAATGTATTATTTACTTGAACAACTTTTTTCAAATTCTCCAGAAAGTTGATGAATGGGAGAGATAATATGATAAAATCGCATATTCCGACTCTCATACAGCGAAATTGGCAGGTTTTATGGATCAAACACAAACTTTACAAACTCTTCTTGTTACATACAAATATAAAATTTCATTATAATATCTTATAATTTCATAATCTCGTAAAACATTTTTTATGAGAAATAAATGGAAGTAACCCTGCTGGCAAGCTACACCAATGAATTCGAGCTCTAGAAAACTTTAAGAAGTTCAACTTCATAAGCCAGCTGAATTCTAAATACACACTTCGAAAAATACTCTAAAAAATCCATAAAAATACTTAAATGTGTACACGTTGAAACTAAAATACAATAAATAAAATACTCGAAAATACATCAAAAATACATCATATACGAAAAATGCATTTCATAATGAATTTAATAAATTTAAACACAACAATACACAAAATTTAAAAATACATAAGTACAGAAAAATATGAAGTACACCTTTTCAATTCGGGTAGATGCATTTGAAAATACTCAAGTCGACAGCCCCTCGGTTCAATGTTAATTACATTACATATTTCTAGCGCAAGAGTCTAATGAGGTGCGATATTTTCAATATAGTAATAATCTTTTACAGTTTTCGAGCATCGTTAGGAATTTGGCCTATCTTTCTTATTTATCTTCTTGTTGCTTTTCAGGTTTCCATTGAACTGAAGAGTA